CATATATATGATGGTAGACTGTACATTGTTAATTTTTTGTAGTAGTGATTCACTTCTCTCCAGTGAGACAGCCAGAGATTTCATTCATGTGAAAGGTAGATTCAGAATAGTTATCCGAATTGTATCGACCCAAAATTGTTATAAATAATTGACGCATTTCGTGCTGTGTAGGCAACCCCTATTTCTTTGGTTCTATCGTGATCAAACATTGTCAGATCATGTGTAAATATCTTTTTCAAATTCTTCTACTTTGCTGGATAAATGTTCTCCTCTGCGGATGTATGCATGGTCGTCGTCAGACATTGACAGACGGGATAATATTGTTACAAATCATGTTCAAGACTATGAATGTGAATCTGATACTACCCTGTCCTTTCCCAGTTGCAATGCACCAGTGACCCCCCTGCCAGAATGCGACCCAGATGTGGAAGAGAGGAATTCTAGGCGTGACAGGTGTGGCATGTTCCTGGACGAAACATCAGCTCTTGCAGACTGTTTCAAGGTCAGTTGGATTTTTTTTTTACTTTCAATGATTGTTCATTGTTGTTCGATGGCTGGGTGACCTAGTGTGATTGATTGAGATTAAGAATTTGTTGCCTTTTTTCTTGTTTGTTTGTTTTGGGTTGTTTTTTAAGTAGTGCCCTAAAATAGAATGAAAGGTATAATATGGAAGGGGGTGATTTCTTTTCATTGATTGCAAAGAGGGCTTTGTTTGCACTAGTGCGCAGTGGAAGTGTTAGGTCCATCCCAACCTTGCTCTCACTCCCACTTTTTCGTTAGAAAAGTTGTATTAGAAACACACAATTGATATATCCTTAGGATAAAAAATCCTCTGTGCATATTTCAAAGATCATCGATGACAGGTGAAAACAAAGTAGCAAAAAGGTTAATTATCTAATAATGATGATGATAATTATGATGATAATTCTTTTAAAATGTTAATCATAATACTATCATAATAACATGTTAGATTCATAATAATAACTATCATTGTCACAATTTAGAATAATAGTGTTGGTAGCAACTGTGACATACACATAAGTATACATTACGTAAGACAATTAAAAGTTTTCCAAGATGAATAGAAAGTAAACCATTAGAATCCTCTTTTCCTTCCAGGTCGAGGGCATAAATCGTCAAGACTTCTACGATGACTGCATGTTTGATGCCTGCTTCGAAGAAGACACTGAACAGGCTGTCTGCGATATGATCAAGACCTACGCTCAAGATTGTCTCGCAAAGGGCGTACCCCTGTCTTGGAGAACTGATGAATTCTGCCGTATGTTTGAAATAAGCGTAATTGGGGGGGGGTGCTTGTTGTTATTAGGGGGATTTTTGTTTCATTTTAAAAAGTTGTTGTTGTTGTTGTTTTCAAATCCCTTTAGCTGCGAGCATTTCGCTCTTGGCAGCGCAATGCTTCCCTCAAGTAACCACATATCCTTGTCATCTGGTCAACGCCAGAGTAGAGCAGGCTTTGTAAGTCTGTAGGTGTGTGTAGGAGCTTGCGTCGAAGAACTGCCAGGTTTGGGTAGTGAAGGAGAAGATGTTCAACGGTCTCCTCATGGTAGTCACAGAATCTTTTAAAAAGTTAAAAAGTAGCATGATGTGTAGGTACATGTAGTTCTTCTTTAAAATGTATTTTCCCTTTGCAGGCAAGCTGTATGAATTGTGCAGTTTATTATTTTCATGTGTCTACATTTATGTATTAACTTGAGCTCATTCTTGCTTTCTTCAAATGGAACCAACACATGAAAGTGTAATGTGTATTCACATATTCTAGGCTCTAGTTTTAGTCTTGCTTGAACAATAATATCATAAAAGTCAAAATGATGATCAAAATCATTCTGCTGCTGCTACTGCTGCTGCTGATGTTGACGATGATGACGATGATGATGATGATGATGATGATGATGATGATGATGATGATGATGATGATGATGATGATGATGATGATGATGATGATAACGATGACAATGATGACCTCGATCGTCAACCATTATTTTCCAGCACTGGCATGTAAACCCGAAGAGATATTCCGCTCTGACATTTCCTGTGAACCAACTTGTGGACAGCAAAATGTGCCTGGAAGCTGTGACGAGCCTCCTGAGGAAGGATGTATTTGCAGAGATGGCTACATGAGGCAAGGCGAAGAGTGCGTCCTAGAAAACGAATGCGGCTGTGAGATCGAAATGCCAGACGAATCTACCTGGGTTCTTCCAGTGAGTTGCCCAAGTTGATGCAGCAAGTTGTCTTGCATCCTTTCTTTTTTTTTTTTTTTTGGGTAGTACATACTTACAGCTTCTCGTCTATTCACTTTGCTGGTAATTTATTTTAGTTTATCTTTTTCTCTTTGTTTCTCTCTCTTTTCTCTCTCTCTCTCTCTCTCTCTCTCTCTCTCTCTCTCTCTCTCTCTCTCTCTCTCTCTCTGTACAAATGTAAATAAGCCTTTTCCATATTTACAAAAAAAAAATTATAAATGTTTGTTCGTCTTTTTAGCATAATAGAAATATTGTGATCGTTTGCGGTTGCGAGCTCCGAAAGACTCTTTATTAAAAACACGTCTGATTTTGTAGTGGTGAAACCTGATGGCGCTTAAATGACCAAAATTGTGTCGATAGTGCCGTAAAACATCTACCCAATCAATCTCTCTCTCTCTCTCTCTCTCGCTCTCAGTATCGCTCTGTCTGTTTGTATGTCTGTCTATCTAACCATCTATCTCTTATACTTTCTCTTTTTTGTTCTCTCTCTTTCTCTCTCTCTCTCTCTCTCTCTCTCTCTCTCTCTCTCTCTCTCTCTCTCTGTCTCTCTCTCTCTCTCTCTGTCTCTCAAGTTAATAGGTCATTGCTGTAAATCCTGGCTTTAAATTTGTATAGTCTTTTGTACATTCAAAACTGTACTCTGAACATATTTATCTACTTACTAACTAGGGAACTGACTATTTTTTTTATTTAGAAACATTTTGTCATCATTACTGAGCCGGGGGAGAAACAACGATTCACTAGTTTTACCACCAGTCAGTGCATGTATTTTGATGTCCACGTACACCGTGCAATCTAGAATTCTAAATAAAAATGTGTGGCCAATGCAGTTTCTGTTCTAAGTTTTGAAAGTTTGGTCATGTTTTTAGTTTCTCACGCACCCAATCTTGCATACCCTTCTCCACAGATTATTTTCTATTGACCACACGTTGTCCATCAAAGGAAATTGTTAATTCCTCCCAGATTAACTCGGCCCAGTGACAAAATTATGCAATGTCTGACCGTTGATAAGAGATTTGTGCACAACCTGTATTTTTCATTAAGAAAACTTTATATAACGAATGAGTGGTTAATATGATGGCATGTGGGCCAATAGCCTTAAACACTGAATAAACTTACTTACTTACTCGACCACTCTTCCACACTATGCCGAAGACCAAGGAAGGTATCGCACTAACAAGGCAATCCCCATTGTCCAGATCGAATACGGAAACCTTTACCGTTTACTTATTCCACAGATCGGAGAAAGCATGCTCATGCCAGAGTGCACTGAACTGGTTACGTGTGTGGCCTCTGAGACCGGCGATGGATCGAGTGAAGCAGTAAGCCAGGAGTACGTCCTCAAGAAAAACGCTGTCTGCGTCGGAGGACCACCACCTACCGAGGAGTGTGCTGAAGGATACTCCTGGAGCGAGGATAGAGAGTCATGCGGGAGTAAGGGAGACAGCATCTAGAAATTATGTTATTTTTTAAAGTTTTAGTAAGAGTTTTAGGACACAATAAAGTCATATTATTATAAGTGCCGAAGATTAGAGGTGTTACAAGAGAGTAAGGCTACAGCCTCTAAAAATTTTATTCTTTTTAGTTTTAGTAAAAGTTTTACTCAAATGCAGCACAATAAGGTCATATAAGTGCCGAAGAATAGAAGTGTTATTAGAGAGTAACTAACACTATAAATGCCGAAGATTAGAAGTGTTATAAGAGTGTAACCAACTCAGAAAAGACGTAAGAGAGATCAGGACGATAAATATTTGATAGGAAAGAAGGAGCAAACCACACCAGAACACCCGCGAACCACCTTTAAATGTTACTCTGCGAAAAAAGCCAACCACCCGCAAATGTTACTCTGATAAAAAAAAGCCAACCACCCGCAAATGATACTCTGAGAATGCCAACCACCCGCATATGTTACTCTGAGAATGCCAACCACCCGCATATGTTACTCTGAGAATGCCAACTTCCTGCTAATGTTACTCTGAGAAACACGTCATTACGATAGCAAACGTCACGACAAGGTAACAGCTCCTTTTTTGCGTTAGTTTACTTACTACCATAGGCTCTGTACTGCATGACACTAACCCCCACCCCTACCCCACACCCACCCCCTTTATCCTCTAGGAGCCCCAGAGGGCTGCAGCGACGGCTTCAGAGATGCAGATGGCATTTGTGTCAAGGTTCCAAAAGTTGAGAAAATCTGGAGACAGGCTGTGGAGGTTTGTAACGAGAAATTCGGCACTCTGGTCAAGATCGACGCCATCGGCAAGCTGGAGGCCCTGCTAACTGTGATGAAGGACAAGGATTATTGTGAGTATATGAATGAAAGTCTTGGTTCACCAAATAGGGTGTTTTATTTCAAGGGAATCCCCAAATAAACTTTTAAGGGGGGAAGGGGGGGGGGGGGCTGCTGCACCCCCAAAGTCCCAATTCAGCTCAAATTTATGGAATTTGAGTTGTAGGCATTTTTAGCTTCCTCAGCCTCTCCTACGACTATTTCATCGCATACGAACCCCCAAAAACCGCATTTTTACCCATACCGGGCATGTTCGTCAGCACCATTTCCTCATAAAGTCAATATTTTATTTTTCTTTGTCGGCCGTTTTCTCACTACGTTACTTTTCTCTATACTTTTTTTTAATAACTCCACCATTTTTCTTCCAATCTTCATGAAATTTTCACAGAATGAAGAAAAGATGTACTATTAAAATTATTTATGTTGAATTTTTTATATGATATATTGAATAGATTTTTGTTGGTGGTGTCTGGAGTTTGGATTTTCACGGATTTTTTGCAAACATAAATGCTGCCTCAGGAAAAAATTAATTTAAAATGTTCTAATTCGTTTAGTAAAAAAACAGAAAAATTTTTTTTAGACCTAATGTTTGTTAACACGCATGCAAAAAAACAGTTAATTTCCATGAGCAATAAGTGCGGTATTCATTACGTAAGACATGTCAACAAAATTCAATATGGCCGCCGTATCCATGGAAACAAAACATTTTTCTCTTATTTGATAGCAGATTTTAGAACTCCTTACTATGCTTGTTATATGAGTTTAATATGGTAAAATTTGGTCCAGTAATAAGCGAGATAGCCTTCAGGTGTAGCCCACCACCCCCCACCCCCCCCCCACCTTAAGACTATGTTTAAATTATGTTTCTTCCTCAATGCGTCAGAGTTTAGAATTCGCAGACAGATGAACAGGCACTTTTATATTCGTATTTGTTTTTAACCACCATGCTCTGTATCCTTTGCTTCTACTATAAATATCTTACTGAGCTTAAAGTGTGAGCTAACTGTGTATGAATGTATTATTGCTCACACGTATACAAGTACTTTAAGGTAGACACACTCCGACATCGCTGTCAAGTTCTAGTAAAAATTTGAAACAAATGTAAGTGGAAGCGAGAGTAGCAGCCACTGTAATTTCTAATGTTTTTGTCTCCCTAAAACATCTTCCTGGTAGGGTACTTAATGTCAGTTTGCTTATTTTTCTTCGCTTTCTTGGAAAACTCGGTCGCCTGCTGGTGCCAAGTTATACCGGGTGTCCTTTGAGGATGGGATCAGTGGGTCGGGCCGATAGCCGGACTCGTTGCCTGAAAACAATCTCGTTTGTTTTTGAGGGGACGAGACGGGCGTAATCGGCTTGTGCCACAATAGCCAATTTGCGACCTGAATCTGGCTAGCGAACCGACCCGACCCGACCTGATTCCTCCAATGGGCACCCTGTATTAAGGAATGCAGAGCACAGTTCACCTTCTGTAGATCCGATTTCTAAACTATTGTTAGCAATCCCTGTGGTGAGCTAACAGTTACCCTGACATCTACAATAGCAGAAAGGACTAAACTAGGTATTAAAAAGATCAATGCTTTGTAGTGTTTAAACTATCCACATGGCTCTGATTACAAATATTTATAAAATGAGAATCTCTCCAGTGTAAAACTGTTTCAACTACTTAAATGTATCTTGTAATAAATAGTTTGTTTCCTTTCCATTTACAGCGTCATTGTTCATCGCTGGAAGAGTTACAGCACGATTCCCTGGAGGAAAAATAGAATCATACCTGCCATCATCAGAGAGTGGTCTCAAAGAATTCATCAACTTCGACGTAGATCAAACCGTACTTAACGTAGCTGTGCTGAGCAGTGATATCACTGCCGAAACAATGCCAGAAGCAGGTCTTGCCCTGGTGATCCGTAGAGATGACGACTTGGAAGACGGCTACGTTGTCGTTGCTGTTCCAACCACCACCAAATCCAATTTTGTGTGTGAAGAGAGTAAGTCTTGTACTGAGCTTTTATTGTGCCAAACCCAAGCTAGAAAGAGACGTCAAAACAGAAGGATTTTTTTTGCTTCTTTATCAAAAGCACAATGCTGAATTTTAACGTTTGAAAGAATGTTTATTCATGCACTTAAGTACTGTTGAGCGCATTTTTTCTTTTTATAGCAGCAGCAACCAAGGTTTTATTCAGAAAAAATCAAAAACTGTTTAAAAGTAAACTGAAAATCATGGCTGCACAAATCATAATTTTTTGTCCCAACCATGAATGGGTGTTTCTTAGTTTGTGAATGAATTCAGCACAATACATTTTCATTATTATCAGATTTTAAAAAAGATTGATTGACTGATTATTAAAGGTAGTTAATTTTTTTTTCGAAATTTCAAAAAGTATTTCCTTTGTGATAATTTAGGAGTGATCGAAGAAGAGGATGAGCCAACCTACACTGACTATTGCAACACTGACAGTAACATGGATGATGACGGTGACCAGGAAATCCTTGCCAACTTGCTCAATGTAAGCTTAAGAAAAATTAGGAGGAGGAGGATGTGGAGGAACGGAGTAAAGATCAGAGGGAAAGAGAGAGAGAGAGAGGGAGAGAGAGAGAGAGAGAGAGAGAGAGAGAGAGAGAGAGAGAGGGGGGGAAGAGAGGGAGAGAGGGAGGGAGAGAGAGGGAGGGAGAGAGGGAGGGAGAGAGGGAGGGAGAGAGAGGGAGAGAGAGAGGGAGGGAGAGAGAGAGGGAGAGAGAGGGGGAGAGAGAGAGAGAGAGAGGGAGACAGAGAGAGAGAGAGGGGGGGATGAAAGAGATTGAAATAGAAAACGAACATTAAACTCTCTGCTCATCCGGTTTTTCTTCTTTCATTTACAAATACATCTATTAATATTTCTCTTTAATTGGTCTTTCCAAATATTGCTCTAGGATTAGAAAGGAAATTGGGATGTCCTGTGTGCTTGTTCTACTCGTCACTGGCATTTTGTTTTCTGTCGAGTTGGTACAAGCCTGCTATGACTTTTAAAATCCTCAAGCAATCCATATTTTTATGTACTTATTTACAAGAGCACATACACCTCAATGAAAATTACTGAACCATAAATGGTTTGTTCTCATGATGCTATAGATCTATATATGGCTCTTCTCGTCTATACAGACGGTCAATTTAGCTTAAGGTCGTCTCAAGGTTGTCTTCACGCAGTTACTTTCGATGCTAATTGTTCCTCTGTTTGATGAAGCGCGAATTCAGTCGCAATGCTTGTATGTCAGTGAGGTGGATCAAAGCTCTGTATTTTCCGCTGTTGTCCTTATGCTATAATAGTATTACATTAAAAAGTAGTTTGTCACATAATCTCGACCCCCTACAACTCTCACACTCTGTTCCCTCCGTCTTTGTTCAACAGGACGGCGACTGCAAGGTCTGTCCTATACCTATGGGTGTAGAATGTGAAAACGCGGGCCAACCCGGACCTGAGAACACAGAGGAAGGAGTTTGTGAACTCCAGTCTGATGGAACGCTCTATTCTTGTGATGAAGGTGCTGCCTGTGTCGACAAACAAGTCAGACTCCGATGCCCCAAAGGTAGGACAATAACATTTTATTACTGGGTTGAAGGCGCTTTGCTCCAATTACTGATTGCGGATACAGTATGGTCTTGTAGTGGACAGTGGCAGAATTGAAGTGGTATTGGGGGCAGTGGGCTTTTGAGATCACGTCTTGACTTTCAACAAAGCTGAGATTTCAAGTATTTGTTTATTACTATTGCGTATTTGTTAGTAATGCTGATAAAAGTTGATTTGGTCTCTCCCGAGTCTTGTAGAGCCCCCATGCTTTTATCCAAGCCATAGAGACAACATAAATTCATGCTTTCACTTCATAGTTGGGTACCTTATCGCGGCTACTTGATCAACCTGTATGCGCCCGCATCGTAAGTTGGATTATGAAACTGGATAGGCTATCTTTTGGCGTGCCCCATATCGCATTTCCTATCTCAACACTACAGTGCTCTTTTTGGCTATTGTTATCGGAAAGGTAACAAATGGAGGTTAGAGAGTGGCACACCCTGTTGGTCCTGTTCTTTCAACTGTAGTTAATATCCTGATGGGTGGAGTTAGAGAAATTAAAAAGTAAGTGTGTTAGTGGACTAAGAAGTTGTTCTGGGTGTTAGCTCCGAGTCAGATCCTCGCATTTACCCAGTCACGTTTGTTATGCATAAAACTTATTCAATTTAAATTTGGAATGGAAAGACATTAATTTGTTATTCATTTCCTGGTCATCTAATATTTACAAAAACGAAAAAAAATACATGTAGTATGGCAGGCCATATACCAAAACTCAAAAACTTCCAGATGCTCTGGGTACAACAAATAATGCTTCCAGACTCGAGAAAAAGAAATTATACCTGGGTGGCAGACAAAGAGCTAGAGCCATAAAATGTTTTGGTGGGCTTTTAGGAAGAGAGTAGAAAACTTAGAAAATATTTACCTCAGTGTTTTGACATCCTGAGGTGGAAATGTTTTACTTCTTTTTAGTCAATAATTGTATAGCCTTTTCCGTAATTATATCAGCCTCAGTTGGTCAGTCATGGTTTGAAAATGACCGCTTAAGAGAAATAATTTATACACAATTCTCCTTGCCAGATATCGATGAGTGTGAACTGGGCTACGATGACTGTTCTGGAAGGCAAAGGTGTATCAACACGATTGGCGCCTACATGTGCAAGTGCAGCAAAGACTTCCCACTGATGATCAACGGAGAGTGCACTGGTGAGTCACTGTTTTACTGCAGTCCGTGTAGGGCTCTTACAAATTTTCCATTAGGATGTACCCTTTTAACAGGAAGCCCGATTTGTCCATTCGTAATTTAGTTGTCTGTCAGGGTAGACCTTTGAGGTTAGCTTAGTCAGACAAAACATACAAAATCGTCCCGCTTCTAATGGTGCACAGTGGCACCTATTACAAGCTGACAAAGTAATTTGTTAAGAAGAATGGCCAGTTTGGGTCATATTTTTAATAAGAAGACTAGCTTTGCTTTTTAAAAGTTCTCCGGAGTCTGCCTTTTTGGTTGCTAACAAGATACAAGTAAAAATGAGCAGTTTCTGGAAATAGGATTTTCACCATATAATAAAAGCGGCAAGACCTCTAAATGACTTATCTTATCCATGTGTGTCTCTTTACAGGGAGATTGATGGATTGCGAAACAAAAGGAGCTCTCTGAGTTGCAAAAAATGCTATTTTCTAAACAGTACACGGACACTCCTATTGTAAAGTAATATGGAGGTCCCCGTGCCAGTCAGCCTTAAGCTCCAGCCCATATCTACTCACCGTTCTGTCTGTGTCGCCCGTCCTTTCTCTTTTCTGTTTATGTCGTCGCGTATAATTATTATTTTTGCTTAACTTTTTTCAGCTGCTGAGACTTGTAGCATGTCTGGTCCACAAACACCAGATGGCTATTTGTTTGACTTTGAAGGATTCTCACGTGTACCTGGCCTCTTTGATTATGACTGCAGCTACATTCTGGCCGCACCTTGCGAAAATGCATGTAAGTATTGACGAGATGTTTAGTTAATAGAGAAAAGTTGTCAGAAAACAGCCGTCTCGCAAAATTGTTCGTAAGGGTAACCGAAGTTTCCCTCAGATTTTACTCATTGGGAAATCTTTTGAGAGTAAGGTCAAAGTTAAAGTGTGAGAGAATTGTTTGAAGAAACAACAACAGGAAAACGGGGGGAAAGTGATGGATTTGTTTTGTATATATACATATGTATCGCGTATAAAAGAGAAGATCTCTTCTCTATCATCATCATCATCATCATCATCATCATCATCATCATCATCATCATCATCATCATCATCATCATCATCATCTCTCCCAGTTCGCTGACCATCAATATGTCTGTGCAACTATAAATGACATTTTCTTCCTGTTTTCATAGACCAAGCTGACTCAGGCCTGCCCTACGTCAACTTTGCCGTCCTGAAGGCACGAGTGAATGACAAGCTGTTCATCAGGTTGATGGGCACAATATTCCACCCTGTCGCCGGTGGCATGAAATCCTGGATGGTCGACGCAAATCTCCTTGAAAGGAATGTCATCAAGGTAATGCGTGAAAATGCGTTGTGTTATTATTGCTGTTGTTATTATTAATATTATTATTGCTATTATTATTATAGTAATTTTTAAAAAATATATATTATTGTTATTTCTATTTTGTATTTTTGTTATTATTATTGTTATTTTTATTATTGTTGTTGCTGTTATTATTTTATTATTATTGTTAATATTATTTTTTTATTTTTTATTATTATTATTATTATTATTATTATTATTATTATTATTATTATTATTATTATTATTATTATTATTAGTGTTTCCAGTTGAAATCTGCTGGGTTTTCCCCGGGGGGGGGGGGGGGTCTCCAGATTTTAGCGAGAGATCCTTCTATTGGAATTAACTTTACTCAAAATCTTATTCTTCAATGTGTAGTTTGAGTCTCTGTTTGTCTGCTTTAATTCCGAACAGTTCCATTAATTTATTCTAAAACATTTCGGATATGCTTTTTTGTTGTAACTGTAACTTTCCCTTTTTTTTTTAAGATAACTGATCGTAAACTAACTTTCAAATCAAAATATGCCTCATTGATAACAGTACCTATCCTTTTATCTAACCATAAGTATCATAAGCACACTGCTTATCCTAATTTCAGTCGTCTGTTACTGTGAACAATAGGGACTGCGGATATAACATTTTGTGTGTCTTGAGGTTCAAGTTGGGGGGGGGGGGGTTCTTTGACTAGAAAATTTTGCATCATAGCTGAATTAGTATGCAATAATTCCATTCATGATTCATGTTTTACCTTATTGAGCTATGTGCTTGGAGAAATACAGTTTCTCAGTAAAGATGAACATTTTGGCCCGTCCTATTTTACTTCTCCACGTCCTATATTATTGTGAACTTTTTTTATATATCGTGCTTTTTTTGTTCGTCAGTATGGTAACCCAGGATCCAACCTACCAGTCAGGGACCTGCCTTTCACCTGCTTTGCAACCCGAACAAAATTCATCTACAAGGAGCCAGGTGTGCTCATTGTCAGGAGTATGGACAATTACTTCAAGGCCAGGATTTCTTTCAATCCATTTAGAGTCCAGGTCGGTACAACTCTAGTACATTTGTTTGTTGGGTTTTTTGGGGTTTTTTGGGTGGTGGGTTGTTATTGTTTGTTGTTTGTTTGTTGTTGTTGTTGTTTTGGAGGAGGGGGGTTCAAATTTAATTCGCAGATAATTTCAAAGGGTTCTCATTTGAACTTTCTTTTCATTTTTTTAAACTCGAATAATTTCAAAGGACTCGTTTTTTTAAGCTCTCTTTTCATTTTTTTTTTTTACATTAATGATATTAGTAACGATAGTCATGATGATGTGGGTTGTTTTGGTTTGTTTGATTTTTTGGGTTTTTTTGTCGCTCTAAAAACAAATTGACTGTGATTTCTGTAAATAACTTGACACCGACATACACGTTGTAACGTTTCTGTCATCAGGTTCAATTTGCAGAACCAATGAGAAACATGATGTGTGGAGTGTGCACAACAGAGCCAGAAGTTGAAGGAGAAAAGATTTACCTGAACCCTCTGCAGGTCACCCAAGTGTCTGTGTCCAAGAGAGCCTTGTGAGTAGCCTAGTTGATAAGATAAGAGAAGATAAGCTAAAATAAGATCAGATGAAATAAGATAAGATAAGATAAGATCGGATAAGGTAAGATAAGATTAGATAAGATAAGTTAAGATAATAGTTTATTGTCCCAAAGGGAAATTTTTCTTGGCTGTGCAAGACCGTAAAAACACATGCAGGTATAGATGTACATGAAATTTAAATTATATATTACTCTATTTAAAATTCAAGTTGAAAAGAAAAGTAAAGCTGACAAAAGTACATATCACTTCAGATGCACCATTCAACCACATGCGGTGTTTCTGTATGAAAAATAAAGAACATAATACTATGTTATTATTGTTGTTGGCACGCTGTTCATCTTTTCTTAACCCCCAGAAAGTAAATGTTTGCAGGAGAAAGAACAAGTAAATCTTTCTTTTATCAACATTTAGAATTTGAATTTCAGAAAAATATTTTTCGAGCACATGCAACGAATACTGAAGATTAAGAAACTGCAATATTTGGAAAAAAGATAAAAATTTGGGGGTTTTAGTTTTAGTAAGGTTTACGGCGCTCGCTACCGCATAAGGTCATATGAACGCCAAGGGGTGGATGTCAACGGAGAAGACCAAACGGGGAGTCAGGATTACTCTGCTCACCTCTCTAGCCTCAACAGCACAAAGTCTGCTTCGACTATCACGGCACCCTGGAAATAGCAGTTCACAAGAGAGTGACAATGATACAAAAGAAGTAGAGGAAAATAAAGATAGTAAGGATGAGAAAAGAAAAAGCAGCAGTTCTCCCTATGTTGTTCCGGCACAATATGAGCATGACATTGATAAACCAGCCCTTTTATAATTATACTGTGCTTAAGAACATGTTTATATCCCCTTTTGGGAATGGCCTAAAGATACTTCAGTGAGTAGCACTGCCCGGGGAGGGGGGGGGGGGGAATTTTGGGGAGAGATTGGCCTTGGCCTAAAGATACTTCAGTGAGTAGCATTGTGGGGGGTAGGTTTTGGGGGGGGGGGGGGGGGGGCAATTTTGGGCTTTGAATGTCTGAACAGCTGGCTGGCCATGTGTTATGCTTCTAGTTCAAATGGGTTGTAATGGAACAAAATAGAACTCTATTTTTTTGTTCAGTAAGGGTTTTACGGCACCTGCAACTGAATAAGGTCATATGAGTGCTCTAGAACTCTTTTTTAAAGCTGAACTATTGATTTTCCTTGCACTGCAAGGGGAACCTCTAAGGATTCGAAATTTGAGGAAACTGGTGGGAGAAATTTTTGGAAGAGAATGTTGGCAGTCAAGAGAAGAAATCTGTATATGAAAAATAAAATGAAAACAAAGTACAGTATCAGCCAATTTGTGCTAAAATGTATGATCTCTCATTGCAAATATTGCAAGTTTAATCTGTTTACAGTAGCAGTTATTAGTTTGAACTCGCGATCTCTCAACCTTAAGATTGTGGGTTCGAATACCGACAGAGGCCCCGTATTGTGTCCTTGGGAAAGAAACTTTACATGAATTTCCCTCTCTTCACCCAGGTGGGAATGGATATCCGTCTATAGACAGTGGAAAGATCTCATCAGATTGTTATTAATGTTTGGGCGTTCAATTGGCTGTTTGCAATGTATGCCTCCCGGGAAGTTGAGAGTGTTTCTGAGTCATGTTTAGGGTCTGCTGTGGTAGTTATAGTTGCACAGAGCCTACTGCGCCACCTCTATAAATGCTGTTAAAATTATTCTTATTAAATGTGTTTCTGTTTCGAGGGTTGGGGGAGAGGGTGTCTTATCTTATTTCTTTGAATCTCTCTGTGATAGCAGATCATTTTGAAAGCAAGAATAGAGTTTTCATTTTCTGTTTTCTTTGTTCTCAGGTGCACTCCTCATGTACCCCCACCAGTGGAACCAACACCACCACCACCTGGCACCTCTGAAGCACCAACAGATGAAACAACCGAAGCACCACCACCACCACCACCACCACCTCCGCCACCTCCTCCACCACCACCACCACCGCCACCACCACCGCCACCAGCTCCAACAACGCCACTTCCACCACCACCTCCACCACCACCACCACCACCACCAACACCACCACAAACGGAACAACCACCACCACCACCACCATCACCAACCACCGAACTTCCACTTCCACCATCACCAACCACCGCACCTCCACTACCAACACCACTAACAACAACAGAACTCCCTCTACCACAAACCCCTCCCGAACCAACCGAGGTTCTTCCACCAGGAACAGAAGAGCCCCCTGTGGATACATGTGACGAATCTGTGGTTGAGTTCTGCTCCGCACTCTCAGAAATTTGTGGAGGAAACATCATGGTACATTTTGGGTTTTTTCTCTGACTTTCTCTTCGTTTCTGTCCTATGTTTTTCACAAAACAATTTTGCAAGAGTGTCGTCTCCAAAAAAAAACTTGGTAAGGGGAAAAAATGGCTGGAACCCAAGGGTAACTATGTTAAAATAAAAACCCTTACTTCAGTAAGAGGAGAGGAGACATGGATTTTTTTTCTCACTTTCCCCCGTTTCAAATTCAAGTTGTATCAATTTATAACAATCAAAAATAGATAAGAACATGAGTTTCTGCATGTCCATCAGTTTGGTTAAGTGTCTAAACTTGAAAGGTGCTGATGAGCGGAGACGTGTTTTTGTTTTATGTTTAACCTACATTCAGTGTTGATGAACTTGCTCTATTGTGTTCGATGTGACTGACTTGCTTTCATATTTTATGCGTCATGGAAAGACGTACTGCGTTCCTAGACGGATTACAACGTTGTGTGTTTTTGTTTGTATTTTTTTTTCAACAGGAGATGTGTGTACAAGACCAGTGTGATGGAGAACTCCGATTCTGCGAATACTTGACTTCTCAGCCATTTGAATGTGATGACATGGGTGCTTTGTTGAGCATAATCAACGACAAGAATTGTGGTGAATGTATGTGTTCTTATGCTAGTTTTCAATTCCACTTATCTTAAAGAATATTATTCAGTTGAAATTAAACATAACTTTCTTTTCAAGCTTTGTTGCAGAAGTTTTTATAGTTATCCATACGGTCTTCTTATATTATATGAACGTTTGTAATTTACCTTGCTATTCTTCTTCAAATTTTTATTTTTAAAAGTAACTGAAACAATATTTATTTATCAAAAGAGAAACACGCAAGCTGCACGTATTCTTAAGTCTTGTGCAAAATAATTCTTTCGCTCTCTTTCTCTCTCTCTCTCTCTCTCTCTCTCTCTCTCTCTCTCTCTCTCTCTCTCTCCCTCCCTCCCTTTCTCTCTCTCTCTTTCCCTCTATCGATCGATCCATCTATCCATCTATCTACGAATCAATCCATCAACCGTCCATTATTGTTTGTACCTCTTCCTCAGACTGTGGAGAGAACATGCAGTTCACTTACTCAGTCATCTCGAAACAACCAACTTGTTCCGAGCCTGATCTTGTACCAGTTGGAGGAGAAGATGAGTTCGACGACTACGAGTTTGGTTGTGTCTGCAAACAAGGATTTGTCATGAGCGGCAACTACATGTGTGTCCGTGAGGATGAGTGCGGCTGCACCATGGAAGATGGAGAGTACAGACAGGTATATAGATCTACGTCATGTTTTCTCTTCCTTAAACACACACATACACACTCACACACATACACACACAGAGACACACACACACACACACACACACACACACACACACACACTGATATGCGCACAGACACACACACACTGATATGCGCACAGACACAAACACAAACACACTCACACACACACAAACACACAATGTGTGTGCGCACACACACATGCAAACACACAAACAAACACACAAACACGCACGCGCACACACACACACACACACACACACACACACACACACACACACATACAGTTGGTATGTTTGGTAAGAATAGGTTGAAGTGATTTTTTAAAGTTGGTGTACCGCCCGTAAATAAATAATAAGCTGACTTTTGAATGAATTAACAGATTTGATTTCTTGTAAATTACCAGGTAGTGTGTTCCTGATCTTGGGACGATGGAATATAAAATGACCTTTCACCAACTGGTTTTAGTTTAATCGATGTGAAAGTAAACGTATTCTTAAATAAACAACTGTGCAAACACTAATAGTAGAAGGACAGGCGATTTCTTCTTTATTTTTGCATCAGCATCATGTATAGTGGCACACTGATTATGAGATCCCATGATCTCTTTCTTGAATCTGAGTTTGGGCTCACAAATAGCGGACTTCCTTCATTGTCCTTGTCTTAACAGAGAGACAGCGTGTGGAGAAGCGAGGACTGCAGCAAGATCTACACTTGCACCGGCCCAGGAGAAAACGGCATTGTAGAGGAGGATTCACCTTGTGGGGAGAATACCGAGTGTCTTGATACAGAAGAAGGACCTGCTTGCATGTGTGAAGAAGGATTCTTCGGCAACCCCATTATGCCAGAGGGATGCGAAGAGGGTAGGTTAACTGCAGACAATGTATTTCTGTTCACCTGTTTATCTTTATATGAATGTCGCCCTCCCTCTCTCAGTCCATAACCTTTTCTTCTTCTTCTTCTTCTTCTTCTTCTTCTTCTTCTTCTTCTTCTTCTTCTTCTTCTTCTTCTTCTTCTTCTTCTTCTTCTTCTTCTTCTTCTTCTTCTTCTTCTTCTTCTTCTTCTTTTTCTCCTCCTCCTCCTCCTCTCAGCTTAGATAAACTTATTTACGATCTTTACAATCGATTACATACTTAACGGCATGCTGAATATATATGGCTGCATTCATTTTTACCAGGCAAAAAGGATGACGATGGCTCCAAGATTTGCTACACATACGTCAACCTTGATGGCTCTACTGAACAAAAGTGCAACTGCACAATGGGCTATGTCTCAAGCTGTAACGATTGTGAAGGTACGTGACAATAATGGACGTCGGTTTGGTAAATCTGCATTGCTGATGTTCCTGCTGATGCCGTTTGATAGCATTATTACTTTATTTTGTTTTAGTAAGGTTTTACGGCGCTCGCAACTGCATATGGTTATATGAGCGCCAATGGGTGGATGTCAACAGAGAAGTGTAAACAGGGAATCAGGCTTACTCTGCTCACCTCTCTAACCATAACAGCACAAAGTCTGCCTCGACTATTAAGGCTCCCCGGAAAGATCAGTTCACAAGAGAGTGACAAGCATACAAAAGAAGTCGAGGGAAAATGACGATAGTAAGGATGAGGAAAGAAAAAGCAGCAGTTCTCCCTATGTTGTTCCGGCACAGTATGAGCATGACATTGATAAATCGGCCCATTTACAATTCTACTGTGCATAATAACATGTTAATACCCCCCCTTTGGGAATGGCCTAAAGACACTTCAGTCTGTAGCACTGCCCTGAGGGAGGGGGCGCTTGATAGCATTAGAGAAGACATTTAGAGAACAGGGAAAGATATCGTTCAGCCCACAACGTTTTTATTTGCTTACGTATTCAACACAGTTTAGATTTGTTTTTGTATATAGTCTTATGTAATCTAAGTCTTGATGGAGCTATTTATAGCTAAATTTACGCTTTTTCTTTTGCTTCATATAAAATGTCTTGAAAATTGTTCTAAAAATAGTCCTACAAATTGTCTTCCTATTTATTGATCGGCCTGTTTCTGTCACACCAGTGAAAAGTGTCAAATCTTAGTTACGAAGGCCTGGGTTGAATTAGATTTTTTGTTTGTCTTTTCTTAAGATCATCTTCATTGCTCGGTGTTTGTGGCTTAGCATGTTACCAAGCCCGTAATATGGTATAGAGTTGTTGAAATCCCTTTTCAAATCCGCATCTGCATTCTAGATGTGGGACCTTTGATTTAGCTCAGATTATCGTTACCTCTTCAAGGTTGTAGTGGACACCTATGCCCTATCAGCAGCAGGGTAAAGGCAATGTTGCGACACATTTCTAACCATCAAACTCGCCAGAAATGCACATTTCTGTAAGATTTCACATAGGAAGAATAGCATTTAAATAGTATCAATAATATTATTATTATTATTATATATGAATAACAAATGTTGTGCTTGTTAGTTAGAGTGCCGGACAACAGCGCGTCTTCAAGACTTGCCAAATCGCTACCTCAGAATTACAAAGTTCTGTCTGACATTTTTGGTTTTGAGTTACTCAGACCATGAGATCAGAAACCAAAGTTTCTATCTGCTCTATCAAAATCGTAAGATTACTCGGAGTCGTTATCAGGGTATTCAAAGAATTGCATTCGAAAAAAGCTTGACACCATATGATGACATCATGTGAAACGTCAAATTTCTCAAGACTAGGTACTGAGCAGATAGAACTTTGTAACTCTGATGTAGCGAAATGGCCAAAGTGTGCGTCCTCAGTGAGTTACCACTGAGCTAAGCAGGTGAAGCAGCATACAGGCTGCACAATCATCACACGATCAAGAAAATAAAAATGATTGAGTCGTATCTGAACTGTTCAGCATGATGATAACAACTGAGCTAAAGGCAGAGAGTCTGGCAAGTGCTGTATATTCCATGTGTTTGTACCTGCTTTGTGAGGTGTATGGTATTTATGGTAGTGTGCCTTTATCATTTTTATGCAGTTTTTAAGGGATGTTTCAATCATTTTTAGAAGATGCTTGATTCCTTTCTCACTTTCCTCAGATATTGATGAGTGTAAACTTGGCTTACACGAATGTGATTTGAGCAAAGAGAACTGCGTAAACATCCCAGGTGGTTATGACTGTGAATGTGCTGATGGTTTCAAGGAGACTGATAATGGCTGTGTTGGTAAGACATTGTTTTTACTTTTCAGGAGTGGTTGTTGTGTGTCCCCAGGAAGAAACATTTATGCGGGCATGGGTCATGACCATCAAAGGGCAGGTTTAAAATACCAGACCCCCAAATTCTGAGAAGGGCAAATGCCGACAGTATGCTCACTAAGCTCAAAAGGACTCAACTTTTCTGGGCTGGTCAGGTCGCAAGAATACATGATTTCAAAATCCCAAAGGCAGTATTCTATTCCTAGCTGTCCCCAGGGAAGCGTAAGGTTGGTGCGACAAAAATGCGCGACAAAGACACCGTGAAAATGTCTCTGAAGGATTTCAACATAGATACTTCGACATGGGAGAGTCCGGCTCTTGACAGACCCAGCTGGAGAGCAGCAGTCACAGTGAGCTGCAAGTCATATGAGGCTTAATGAATGAGAAATAATGTAACCAAGGGAGAAACCCTCAAGCTACGCACGTCAACAAGAATAAGTGGAGCCTTTAAATTTTCAGAGCATGGCAAACTTTTCTCTAACATAATTGGTCTCTTCGGCCACGGCAGAAGCCACAAAGCATCTTAATCTTTAATTTTTTCAATTCTTCTCTTTCGCTGAAAAAATATTATCCGATGCTATTAATATATTATTACACTCAGTGATATCAACACTTCAGCTTCGGTGCTGTTGAAGACGTCATGTTTCATTCCTCAAATCTACGATCTTACTAGAAATCCTTACTTCTATTATATGTATGCATGAACTATGCGCCACTCCCTGGTCATATGACCCAACAGGCAACGATATGGGTCGACACCCCTAGCGCTATTGAGGGCAATATGTTGTTTCCTATCCCAAACAGACTAACGATCTGACTTACAGTTTGTTCGTTTGTTTGTTGTTGTTTTTATTGAGCTTTTCTCAAAAGTTATGTGGCAGTACTTGGCAGTTGTGGTAATTGTTCCTTCACTGGCAGATTATTTCTCTGTGTTCTTGAGTAAAGCTTTGTCTCGAGTTTATTTATAGTGTCGTTTTATATATCTTTATTCTTCTAACAGTAACCACTCTTCTGACTTTAACTTGACAAGAAACACTGTTTCATTACGTAAACCCTGTTCTCATTTTTTTTTAAATACCTTCAATCTTTAACTTCTTTCTACCAGACATTGATGAATGCAAGGAGCAGAGACCTTGTGGTGACAACACCGGATGTACCAACAAACCAGGATCTTACAAGTGCGAATGCTGCGCAGGCTACAAGATGGATGACGGTGAATGCGTGCGCGACACTGAAGGTTTGTAGACTAAGCCTTGATCTTTCTTAAATAACTGAGAACACAAACATAACTTTCTTAATGGTGTGCAAAATGTTTGTGTTGATAAATGCACACAGTTAAATGAGCACGCACTTTTGCTGGAACATTTCTTGAAACTGTTTCTTTTTATTGTTTGTCATCATTGCCTGAACTGCTGTTTTATCCCTGGCTAGGGGAGGAAGTTATGTATTAGTTGCTGTTTTAGTTTAGCCTACTTCAAAAAATGTTGTTCTGGCTTTTTTGCATACAGTTTACAACTACGGAGAAAATGGTTATATATTAAAGTAATATTTAGACATATATATATTTATTTATTTTTTCCTGTATTTATATACACACACAGAAACATATAATCACATAATATATATATATATATATATATATATATTCAAACGTATCTCATTTATGTGTATGTGTGTGTGTGTGTGTGTGTGTGTGTGTGTGTTTGTGTGTGTGTTTGTGTGTGTATTTGTGTATGTGTGTGATACGTTCATCTCTATATAATTTCTTTTTTTAACCACTGTGCAGGCTTCCCAGACATTCCTGATGACGCCCAGTGTTGTCTCCAGTGCAACATCCCAGCCATCTGCAAAGATGTGGAGAGTGAACCTGTACCAATCTGCTACACGAAGCCCGATGGAGAAAAACAGACTTTCGAAGATGGAAAGGTTCTCTTCCAGACCTTGTGTTTGAACGGCGAGGAATTTGTACCAAGCAACGCACAGAAGGGACAGAAATGCCCCGAGGAAGTAGAACCAACCGAACCTCCTACACCCCCTCCTAGTGAGTGTGCCGTGTGTGTGTTTGTTTCACAGGGGAGGAGGGGTTCACTGAACAATGAAATTGTCGCATAAAGAGTGTCAGTTCATTTGAACACAGAGAAAACATGACTGGTGTAATGAGAAATTTTTAAACAATCAGTTGTTGTTGGGGTTTTTTTTTGGGGGGGGGGTTGTTTTGGTAAGTGTTTTGCGGCGCTCCCAGCTGCATATGGTCAAATGAGCGCGCGGGACACACTAAACATTTTCTGTTTGTGGGATCTTTCAAATTTTGCCTGGCTGGCGGCCGATGCCTACCCTTACCGATTTTGAACAACCATTTTGCGCAATTTGCACACGACGCGACCTCCGTTTGGTTTTTTGGTTTTGTTTGAGTTGTTTGTGCAGGTGACAAAGTGCGTTGTTTTGTTTTTTTGCTCCATCTTGCAAAAAGCATAATTTATAGTCTTCTTTTGCTTTCATGGTGAAGAAGAAGATGGGAGAGTTGGACCCAAGCAATAAAGGGCTTAAGTGTTTGTCTTTATCCTTCTTTTCGACTTTCTGACAGTAAAATGTCGCCATTATCACCATCATTGCCTTTCTCCCTCTGGGTCAGGTATAGGCCGCGAAAAACAATTTCCACTTTTCTCTATCCTGGGCTAGCCTCTTGTTATTATTCAATGTCTTCCCACTTTTCTGTACATCGCTTTCTGTGACTCTTCTCCAGGTTACATGTCGTCTTCCCCTTGATCTTTTTTCCCTGTGGTAAAAATTACCAAAGTATTATCTTGTAGAATCTTTGTCTTTAACCCTAGAAAGTCCTCAAACATTAGTCTAATAATTAAAGTTATTTTTTTTCCACAGCAACAGAAGCTCCTGCCGCCACCACCGCAGGCCAGGCACCACCAAGCAGCTGCGACGTAGATGTACTCAAATCCACTCTTCCTCCACCACCTCCACAATTGTCCTCTGGTGAGTTCAGTGTTACATTTTAGTGTCTTCTGCTACAGTCATTTGTATAATTTACTATCCTTTGGCTTTCATAGTATTGTAGAGGACCTTTTTAGAACTAAAAAACTAATCCCAACTAGGGGGGAAAAAGCTTCAGTCTAATATCCCAACCAGATCTGTAATTTGTTTTGCGAAGCGATAAATTTAACTTGCTTTAATATTAAGATATGATGACTTGCCTTGAGACATGCAAGTTTAAAGGCTTAGCTCGGAACGCACTTAACTTTGAAATAAGCAGCAAAACCGAATAACAATAAAGCCATATAAGTGCCGATGATTAGATTTGATGCAAGAGAGTAACAAACACAAAAAAACAAGGAGTGATCAGGACGTTAGATGTTTGATAGGAAAGAAGGAGCAAACCACACCCGAGCACCCCCCAACCACCCGTGTACCCTAGTTCACTTCCGAATATGATGTTCAAATACGAATGAATACTCTGTCTTCACTCGTATATGTATTATGTTTCAGGTCCAGTGTGTGGTCCAAGTAATGGCCCCGATCCTCAGACATACGACTCTTACTACGAGATGGCCCAGGCTGTGTGCCAGAGCTCTGGAAGTCCACGAAATATGCCTACTTTGTCGCCTATTGCTGCTGAACCAGGACCTTGCGAGGAGGAGCCTGAAGTAACAGAACCAGTAGTAACAATACCAGTAATACCAATCCCAGCTCCACGTAAGTTCCCTCGTGGCTCTTTAAAACTAGAATTAAAAATTCGCTACCTTGAAATTTCAACGGTCTATCTGCTCAGTACCTAGTTTTGAGAAATTTGACACAAAAAAACTTTTGAGTTCCACAACATGTCAAGATTTTTCAAATGCATTTCTTTGAGTATCTTGAAAACGACTCCGAATAATCTTACTATTTTGATAGACCAGATAGAACAGTTGGTTTCTAACCTTGTGATCTTAGTAACTCAAAACGGCCAAAAATGTCAGACAGAACTTTGTAATTCGGTAGTGTCGTTGTGGGAGGCGGGCTGCTTCGACCCTGCCTGTTAAACCTGTACTGAAAGGGATACAATAATGTCCCAGCAGACAGGCTGAGATACTCGACTTTAGAAAAGAAACAACTTACCCGCACGGAAAACGAACTATTGCCTTTTGCGTGCGAAGGCAAAACACCAAGTTTAGTTTAGTATGGGGTTTTACGGCGCTCGCTACTGCATAAGGTCATACGAGCGCGCAAAAACACCAAATTGGCTCAGTATGGCTGTGCGGACGAGGGATCGCGGAATTCCACCTAGATCTACGCCTTGCATGCAGGTTATGGTTTCAGCTTCTTGGGCCCACTTGCTTTGGACATTGTTCAGAACGCACCCTCTTAGAACTCTAGCTTTCTTTAAAGCATTCCTTGAAAGAATACAAGAAGGTGTGTGCACAAACGTTATTATTATGTGGTACAGTAATTATGCCTTAATTAAAGTTAAAGCTACAGTATCCTACCGACAATGGATTGCATATAATTCAATGGATGTAATTTTAAGAAATTTTTCCTGTGGTCATCAAGGTAGATGGATTTGTGTAACCCATTCAGGCTACGTGCTTTTGTAAATTAGACGTGTTTCGCGGTTTATGTGGAAATACACATTGATAGGTACGGCGCCATTGGTTTCTAAACAACTGCCAGTATAACAATCGCTTGATAGCAGTCACAAACTCAGGATTCTTCTCCCTCCCTCCCTCCCTGTCAGTCTGTCTGTCTGTCTGTCTCTCTCTCTCTCTCTCTCTCTCTCTCTCTCTCTCTCTCTCTCTCTCTCT